AAATTGATTATTATTATATTTCCTTGTTCATGATAATCGTTTATTATCCATGCTAGAATTGTATTGATAGGAAACTCAGATACATGTGTGGATACATAGACAACACCATGTCCCTAGTAAGCCTCTAGTTGACTAGCTCGTTAATCAATAGATGGTTACGGTTTCCTGACCATGGACATTGGATGTCGTTGATAACGGGATCACATCATTAGGAGAATGATGTGATGGACAAGACCCAATCCTAAGCCTAGCACAAGATCATGTAGTTTGTATGCTAAAGCTTTTCTAATGTCAAGTATCATTTCCTTAGACCATGAGATTGTGCAACTCCCGGATACCGTAGGAGTGCTTTGGGTGTGCCAAACGTCACAACGTAACTGGGTGGCTATAAAGGTACACTATGGGTATCTCTGAAAGTGTCTGTTGGGTTGGCACGAATCGAGATTGGGATTTTGTCACTCCGTGTAAACGGAGAGGTATCTCTGGGCCCACTCGGTAGGACATCATCATAATGTGCACAATGTGACCAAGGGGTTGATCACGGGATGATGTGTTACGGAACGAGTAAAGAGACTTGCCGGTAACGAGATTGAACAAGGTATCGGTATACCGACGATCGAATCTCGGGCAAGTACCATACCGCTAGACAAAGGGAATTGTATACGGGATTGATTGAGTCCTTGACATCGTGGTTCATCCGATGAGATCATCGTGGAACATGTGGGAGCCAACATGGGTATCCAGATCCCGCTGTTGGTTATTGACCGAAGAACATCTCGGTCATGACTACATGTCTCCCGAACCCGTAGGGTCTACACACTTAAGGTTCGATGACGCTAGGGTTATAAAGGAAGCTTGTATGTGGTTACCGAATGTTGTTCGGAGTCCCGGATGAGATCCCGGACGTCACGAGGAGTTCCGGAATGGTCCGGAGGTAAAGATTTATATATAGGAAGTCCTGTTTCGGCCATCGGGACAAGTTTCGGGGTCATCGGTATTGTACCGGGACCACCGGAAGGGTCCCGGGGGCCCACCGGGTGGGGCCACCTGCCCCGGGGGGCCACATGGGCTGTAGGGGGTGCGCCTTGGCCTACATGGGCCAAGGGCACCAGCCCCAAGAGGCCCATGCGCCTAGGGAACCCTAGAGGGAAGAGTCCTCAAGGGGGAAGGCACCTCCGAGGTGCCTTGGGGAGGATGGACTCCTCCCCCCCTCTTGGCCGCACCCCTTTCTTGGAGTAGGGGGCAAGGCTGCGCCTCCCCCCTCTCCCCTGCCCCTATATATAGTGGAGGGGAGGGAGGGCATCTAGACCTGAGCCCTTGGCGCCTCCCTCCCTCCCGTGACACCTCCTCCTCTCCCGTAGGTGCTTGGCGAAGCCCTGCAGGATTGCCACGCTCCTCCATCACCACCACGCCGTTGTGCTGCTGCTGGATGGAGTCTTCCTCAACCTCTCCCTCTCTCCTTACTGGATCAAGGCGTGGGAGACATCGTTGAGCTGTACGTGTGTTGAACGCGGAGGTGCCGTCCGTTCGGCACTAGGATCATCGGTGATCTGAATCACGACGAGTACGACTCCATCAACCCCGTTCACTTGAACGCTTCCGCTTAGCGATCTACAAGGGTATGTAGATGCACTCTCTTTCTACTCGTTGCTGGTCTCTCCATAGATAGATCTTGGTGTTACGTAGGAAAATTTTTGAATTTCTGCTACGTTCCCCAACAGGATTGCCACGCTCCTCCTTCACCACCATGCCGTCGTGCTGCTGCTGGATGGAGTCTTCCCCAACCTCTCCTTCTCCCCTTGCTGGATCAAGGCATGGGAGATGTCACCGGGCTGCACGTGTGTTGAACGCGGAGGCGCCGTTGTTCGGCGCTTAGATCGGAATCAACCGCGATCTGAATCGCTGCGAGTACGACTCCTTCATCCGCGTTCTTGCAACGCTTCCGCTTAGCGATCTACAAGGGTATGTAGATGCACTCCCCTTCCCCTCGTTGCTAGATTACTCCATAGATTGATCTTGGTGATGCGTAGAAAATTTTAAATTTCTGCTACGATCCCCAACAGACATGATACATCATCAGGCTCCAGTTCAGTGACATAAGGTTGCCCCAACACAACATCTAGATAAGATGTTTTTTCTCTGACAAGTGAAACACTGGGTATGATCTGCATGGTATTCACCACAATTTTTTCATGTGATATGGTTTCTGGAGACACCCCCCTCCATTTGTTTTTCTCTGTTTTCAGCAGCAATAGTGTCAATGAGAAGCTCATTGTCAATCTCCTCACTTTCCTCCTCAGAGAAATTCTCCTCATTTTCTTTTTGATTTTTCCCAGCATCAGTTCCCTCTTCCATATTCTCTGTTAAAGCTGGCATGTGCACTCCCCTCACAACTGAATTGGGAGGAGCAGAAAAGTTCCCCAAAGTGGAAGAAGAGCCCCCCTGGTCACCATTTTGCACATTTTCTGTGATTCTAGCCCTCTTGGGTGACACCCCCTTGTCTGCATCCTGAGTAATTGTCACAGTTTCTTTAGGATTATTTTTAACCAGAATTTTATCCACCGTGTAGAAGAAATCATAGAAATGATCTCCCAACACCCCCTCTGCCTTAGCTGGGATGTTCTCAGCATCTCTACAACCCAGCTTAATCCTGACCAACTCGGGTCTGTTGACAGTAGATCTGTCGAGGTCAAGAGTCACACCCACCAAAGATCCAACATAAGCAATATTTTTTCCGCACCTTTTGTCCAAAGGGATGTTGCTAACATTGACCCAAGAAATGTTAAGTACACCCTTGGCACCCACAGATTCAGACCATTTTTTGAGACTCACCACAACACCACAGCTCTTAATATTCATAGTTTCGGTGAAACAAGCTTTGTCAACATCTCTAGGTGAAGGAAATCTCATCACAAATGTATTCAGCCCAATCGACCTAGCAGAACACTTCCAATTTGTATTAATGTATGCATTAAAGAACTCCTCCAACTGCCTTCCACTAGCTTGCCCTTCTATCACAGAGATGACAATATATATGTTCCTATCAGTATTTTGCTTGGGTGTACTAGCGTCATGTATGTAGAAGAAACCCTTCCCCTTAGCTTGAAAGCCACACATAAGGGCTACACATTCCCAAGGAAGAACAGTATTGCAAATAGGAACCAGATGTCCATTTAAACCACATCTACCGCAAACTGCTCTAGGACATCACATTGGGACATGCCCAGGATCTTTGCAAGTGACGCAAACCTCAGCACCACCCACTAGTGGGGTGGCATTCCTTCTTCCCGGAGTTGGATGACGTCGATCTTGCTGAGGACGTACATCATGTTGGGGTCGCAGATCTTGTTGAGGACGCGGATCTTGTTGTGGACGCTGATTGTCTCTCGTAGTCGCCTTGCCTTGATTGTTGATGTCGCCCCATCTCTCAGTGCGACGACCATCGCTCTGCGTTTCAATGGCCGCCGCCTCCCACCTTGCTCGATCTGGCAGCACACGTCCTTGATCCATGCTGGTGGAGATCTGACCGCCTTCCTCGATGTCCCGTGTCCACACCATGTTGCGGCCGCCTCCACCCCCGCCGCACCCGGCGCCCCGTCCGAAGCGACCGGCGCCCCGGCCAGCCCGGCCCGCCCCGAAGCCGTCAAGCCGATGGCCGCGGTTCTCCGCTCCTCGATCCGCCATGGGAGTGGGCTGAATCACGCGTGGCGGAGATGCAGCGACCTGAGCGAAGGATCTGTGGTCTCCTCCCGCCTTCCCCTCCCACCAGCCGAACGACGGGGAAACCCTAGGCGTCGAAACCCTAGGTGCCTCCCAGAAGTGGTGGAGGAGGAGATCGAGATCTGAAATTGAGCGGGTCGGTGGGGATCTTATCTCCTCCGCCACCCTAGCCGCAGCCCGCATGACCTGTAGCCGGCGGCCCCACCTGGCACGGGCTTGCCCCACCCTCTGGCCCCGCCATGGCGCGCGTGTCGGGTGCGGGTCCGAGGACCCCCGGGTCGGACGTCCGCTGCGGTACACGGGACGAGCCCTGTGGTACACGGACGTGCCCACAACCATCGACTCCGGCGCGTCGGCGACCACGCGCGTCGTCGGCACCGCTGATCGGCGGCCATGGTCGGCGTGGGGAGAGAGAGAGGATAGGGACGTCAGAAAAGCCATCCTTTGCTCGAACCTCTACCGATCATCCCGAACATGATTTGGGATGCGGCCGCGCATTGGGCGCACCCACGATCCAATGAATAGAAGCGGACATGGGCGAACACATTGCCGTATCAAACGGACGAAATCTGACTAAACCGGACGTCCGTTTGGGTCGTGCAGTGGAGTTGGCCTGAATGAAGGATGCTCACTTGCTCGCACACGTTCCTGGCGCAGCCCATGCTTTCACTTCACCAGAGCCCAACAACCATGCATTGGCACTGCAAGCAGCAGCACAACGCAAATAAGCGCACGGGGTCGTTGAAAAGCTTGGGACAGACAGTACGTGAGGTCCAGCTCGGCTTCCACCGTGCCTCCCACCGGCAGCATAACACCGTGCTCCTGCAGCCGCGACCTGAAAGAGACGGAAGACCGGTCAGAGATCCGCAGCCGACGACGCGGAGGTAGCACACTGTCATATCCCTCTTGCCTCCCACCGTCTTCCTCCGTGCTTCCCACCGGCACCGGCACGCACAAGTCAAGCCACACCACCACCTGCTAGCTTCTCAACACTGCAGCAGAGCAGCCTGAGCCTAGCCTCCCTTCCGCTGCTTAAATACTAGGCCATTCGTGAACCCTACGCCAGTCCATTCGCGCGCGTGATCCAAGAAGAACACAAGCCAACGGGCAGTCGGGCACAAGCACAGATACGGCGGCCGGTGGAGCATAAGGTCAACACACCTGGCCGAGGAGGCCTTGCTAGCTTTTGCTCTCCCCCTAGCTTCTTCTGCCCGCTTGGCTCTTCTCCCTGGACTGGTCAGGGGCCCGGTACGCCGTACGCGCGCGGCCGGATCGGAAGGATGGCGGCGGCATCAGCTCGGGCGCCGTCGAGAGCAGCTTCCTCCGTTGGTACGGCCGCCGGAGTACTCCTGGCCCTCGCCGTCCTCCTCACAGGTGAGTTCCATCCGTCTGCGTGCGCTGCGAACCCCAGTATAACCCGAGCTCTAGAGATCTCGTACGTACGCGCGCGTCGTCACAATGGTCGTCCATTCCCTGCTTCTGTGCTTATCGTCGGCCATCTTCTGTGTCGATTGCTCCTATATTTATTTTCCCTGTGCATGCAAAGAGCATTTTACTATTACAAGGGCAAAAAACGGGCTGTCGTTTTGCAAGTCGTTAGTACCAACAGTACTTCTGATAAGTGGTCGCATTTGCTGGAGTTGCCATTGATTATCTGGTAGGTGCATCTGCTGAGATTAAGCATATCTAGGTGTTGGAGGTTTTGGCTACAACACAGCCAAGGCGACATGGCGCCCCCTATCTTGGCGTTCCATGCCGCAAGTAATGCACCGCCCACTGTGGCTGCGGCGACAAAAACTGTGAACTTTAAATGATACGCTGGGATTTGTTATTCGACGAAAAACAAAACGTATCAGCTTTCACTCACTCTTTACAAGCATGCTGTAGGAGTATGATATATTACCCCGCGTTGGCATTTCCATTGTTTTCTCTCCCAATTTCGCGCATCTGACGATCTGGCCCTGAGCTGTGCTTGCTTTCTCCACAAAGTTTCTCCGCAAAGGCTGCCTTTTATCATTTTCTTATTATTCCGCAGTCTGCAGCTAATTAAATTTAATATGCTCGCAACTTGGGCGATAGTTGAAAGTAAAGGGTTCGCCACTTCTCCAGTAATGCACGTGGAATTTTGGAATAATTGGATTTTAATATGGTGGTACTGTATTAGTTTTTGGTAGGGCTCAACCACACCACTTGACCATGTGGTCCAGTGAAATCTTGCTTCTCTTCCATTGGATCACGCACCCCCTCGATCTCCATCTGAATGTAACTGTACGCTTGTACTATTATATTACCTATAGATTGCTTTTCTTTTGTTCCGATCGCCTTGCACTGATGGCATACAGTATGAGTTGGTAACTGACACACTGATAAATCGCTATGTTTTTATGCCAATTATGAAAAATTATGGAGAAAATGAACCAAATGAATGGATTTCACATTCGCAGCGATAGTACCGATCGCCGTGTATGTAGAAATGACCGATGTATGACACGGAACAACAATTAATTTTGCAGAGCAGGTGATTGTGGCGGATTCCCTGTCCATCGGCGTCAACTACGGGCAGATCGCCGACAACCTCCCTGCGCCGGGGCGGGTGTCGACGCTGCTCCGGTCGATCAAGATCAGCAAGGTGAAGCTCTACGACGCCGACCCGCACGTCCTGCGCGCCTTCCTCGGCACGGGCGTGGAGTTCGTGATCGGCATCGGCAACGAGCACGTCCCGGCGATGGTGAGCTCCACGGCGGCGCAGGCGTGGCTCCAGCAGCACGTGGTGCCGCACCTCCACGCCGGCGCGCGCATCACCTGCATCACCGTCGGCAACGAGGCGTTCAAGGGCAACGACACCGCCCTGCAGGCCAGCCTCCTGCCCGCCATGCACTCGGTGCACCAGGCGCTCGGGACGCTCGGCCTGCAGGGCCGCGTGAACGTGACCACCGCGCACTCGCTGGACATCATGGGCGTCTCCTACCCGCCCTCCGCCGGCGCGTTCGCCCCGGGCGCCGTGGCGCACCTGCAGCCGTTCCTCAAGTTCCTGTCGGCGACGAGGGCCCCGTTCCTCATCAACTGCTACCCGTTCTTCGCCTACAAGGACGACCCGGCGCGCGTGCCGCTGGACTACGTGCTCTTCCAGCCCAATGCCGGCGTCACGGACCCCAGCACGGGGCTCAACTACGACAACATGCTGTACGCGCAGGTGGACGCCGTCTACTCGGCCATCAAGGCGCTGGGGCACACGGACGTGGACGTCAAGGTCTCCGAGACCGGGTGGCCGTCCCGGGGCGACCCCGACGAGGTGGGCGCCACGCCGCAGCACGCCGGGACCTACATCAGGAATCTGCTGAGGAGGATAGAGATGAAGCAGGGCACGCCGCTGCGGCCGGCGGTGCCCATCGACGTCTACGTCTTCGCGCTCTTCAACGAGAACCTCAAGCCCGGCCCGGCGTCGGAGCGCAACTACGGGCTCTTCTACCCCGACGGCACGCCGGTCTACAACGTCGGCCTGCGCGGATACCTCCCGCCCATGGCGGACTCACAAGGAGCGCGGCAGGTACGGTTTCTTGATTGGCTTGCTCGATCAGCGCATGCATATGCATTTACATAGACCGTGACAAGCCAGCACCTGGGTTGTGTTTACGCAGGCGGTTCATGTGATTCTACTCATCGCCATGGCGACGGTCGCTTTTGCCTTGTCCTGACAGTATCCATCAACTACTGAGTTTCTGATGGTGAAGGGTGAAGGGTGTCATGGCTGTGATTGAACAGAGCTGAGCCAGAGTGCATCCACTCCTTGAAAGAAGACAGAATGACCCCCTCTCTTTTTGAGGTGTACTCCTTCCGTTCCACAATACATGCCTTCCATTTATCAAAATATAGATATATTTAGACATGCTTTAGTATATAGGTATTTTTATTTGGGAAACGTTTGGCGCCGGGGCACCGGCCGAAGCTTCGGCCGGTCCAGTCCACGCACGCGCGACGCGACCCACTCACGAGCAACCACGTGGCGCGATGGACCCGAGACGACTAGTCCTCCTTCCTTTTCTCTTCTTCCTCTCGCGCATCTCTCTCTTTCTCTCTCCCCGCTGCCATGGTCAACGCATCGCCCCGTGCCGCAGGCCTCCCAGGCGCGCCGCCATTCAGCAGATCTGGCCGCCCTCGACCAGATCCGCGGGGATCCGCGTGCATCGGAGCTCTCCCTGCCTCACCGGACCCGGCCACGCCGGAGCTGCAACCAGCCATGGCAGGACTACACCCCGCGGCCCAAATTTGCTGGAACAGGCCGGCGAGTGCTGCAACCGTTGACAGGAAAGCTTCAACCCAAGATTAAAAATGCTTCAACCGTATATACAGAAAGCTGTAAGTGTTCAGTGCTATCGAGGGAAGCTACAACCATCTATATAAAATGCTACAAACTTTGATGAAAACAGCTTCAACCGAACGATAGAGAAAAGTTTTCACCCAGACATTGCTCAAAAAAAAAGTTTCAATCATTTACAGAAAAGCTTCCACCATAGAGGGGAAAAGCTTCAACCATTGAGATAAAAGCTACAACCGTATCAATTTTTTGCTACTACCGTCTGTGTTTTTGCTACATCCATTCATGCGGCCATGGTGCTTTTTTACGACTGAGCTGTGACCGGCGACGACGAGGATGGCATTTTTGTTGCAACATCCTCGTTTTTGCTACCATTGGTGCTGTGTTTTGCTACATCCGTTTAACATTTTTGCTACAATGGCGACACCGATGGATTTTTTTGCTGCAACAGTTGTCTTCATTTGCTACGACTGACACGGGAAAATGCTACCACGGGGCATCTCTCTTTTTTGTTGGAACAAATCATCGGTGAGGCGGAGCTGCATCCATGGCACTCCGACGAGCAGCGGGGGCAGCGAGCGGTCGGGGCGGCCCCGACGGGCGGCCGGGGCGGCCCCGACGGGCGGCCGGGGCGGCGAGCGGACTTGGATGAGTTGAATCGCGGAGCTGCATCCATGGCGCTCCAACGGACGGCCGAGGCGGCGAGCGGTCAGCTCCAACCGGCGGCCGGGGCAGCGAGCGGGCGGGGCGAGCTGAGTGTCGGAGCGTGGGGCGGCCGGCGAAGACGGGCGGTGAGACGGGGTTCCTTTCCCCGTCCGTGCTCGCGAGAGGAAGACGACGCCCTGGTTGGATAAGGATCCAACGGATCGGAACAGGCCGATCTGACGGCTAGGGTTGGACCGGCCGAAGCGTTCGGCCGGTGCGCCGGCGCCTAGCATCGGCCTTTTTATTTTTAAACAAATGAAAGTCAAGTATTTTGGAACGAAGGGAGTAGAACTGATGTATTTTGGGCAATGCCATTCATTGCCATCCGGATGTGCTCTAGCACTAACCGAAGCTTGGACGTCATTTGTCTCCTTCATTTATTAAGAAAAATGTGACATGTTTTTGTCCTGCGAATGGAGAAACAATAGTGCAGACATGCTTTTCTTCAAACTAAAGATTTGTCTCCTCCATTAGTTAAGAAAAATGTGTCAAGGTTTTAACGAAAAGGAACAACAACAAAACAAGAGAGAAGTCCATATTACAACCGCCCTTTCCTTCCCCTCCCTCGTCGCGCCGCCGCCTGAGGCGCCGCCGGCGAAGCCCGGGCGGGCTCCAGTGATGGCGGCGGCAGGGTGTTTCCCCTAGGTCTCTTCTTCCCTCTCGTCTTGGGAGCATCTAGCGGCTGGAGGAGGGCCTCGGGAGCTTTGATCTGGACTTGCGGGCACGGCGACCTAGGGGTGCGAGGCTCCGTGGCGGGTGCTGGCCGGGTGCTGGCGGGGCTTGGATGCTCCGGCGCGTGGCTAGATGCTGCGGTGGAGGTTGATTCCTCTTCCTAGATCTGGTCGGGGCCTGGCCGCGGTCGTTGGCGTCCCGGTCCGATGCGCATCAGGCGTCCGGCGGCAGGACTCGGCGGCCAGCGAGGGCTGGATCCTGGGGTGGCGGAGGATGTGTCGGCGGCTATGGACTTGCGATGGGCGATGCGGCGGCCGCGGTGTTGGACGATCTGTGCACAAGAAGCTTGATGGAGGCCATTGGAATAGATCTGGGTGAAGACCTGCTCGCGGCTGCTGCCGAGGCCAGCGATGGCGGCACTATTCTGTGTCGTTCCCTTGTTGAAGGCATCGATGTTGAGACATTCCAGGCCACTACTTGCTACCTTCGGGGGAAACCCTAGATCAGTAAATCGGATGACGGCGGCATAATCGTGTCGTTTCTCTCTTGTGGCGTCATTCTTGGAGGTGTGCACGGGCTCGAGGGACCAGTGGACGCATTATTTGGTGGAGCGGTGCTTCATCCTACACATTAATGGTGGCGTATCTTGACGGCGTGGCGCAGTGAAGACTCGTCGTCCGATGTGTGGCGAGGGACTCACGCAGGAGGGTGATGTTGTCTGGCGTCATGGTGGCGTCGATGGCAGAGAGGCCGGGCAAGGTGGATGCAGCAGTACAACACTGAAGATGGATTGGTGGCAGGTGGCTGCGGCGACCTCATAGCCGACAGGCGTCCTGGTTGAGAAGTGCGTCGGACTGGTGGGTGCCTCGTACCGGAGGCGTCTTGGTTGGGACCTCAGGTCTTAGATGTTAGGTTTCGCTGCGAGGTCTGTTTGGTATTAGGACCAAACTATCAGCATCCCTTTATCAACTGGATAGGAGTAGCGACAGATGTTACCTAGACGGTGGCTTTAATCTTACTGTTGTATCATTTTATAAGGTCTTATGTGAATAATTAATAAAATGGCTGCATGCATCGTTCAGATGCAGAGACCGGGAGTGCTCCTCCTTTTAAAAAAAAACCTGAACTCTTTAATTTGTCTAAAATTCAACTCCAACCTCTAAAATCGCGTAAGATTCAACCTTTTTTTTGCGGGGTGCATAAGATTCAACTTTGGACTGACAAAACCGGCTACGACTCAACCCTTCTGGCCCCTGACCCTGGCTTTGACCCGTTGACCGTTGGGTCAAAGCCATGTCAGCGTTTTGGCAGTCCAGGCAGAAAATGAAATTCAATGCTATTCTTGATTTTGTTAAGTAAAAGTGTCTGAAATTTTCCCAGAATGGTCAATATACTTTTATATTTAACAGAATGTTCTTAAAAATTATTGATATTTTCATTTTTTGGACAAAATTTGACAAAAATTGGGGCTGAAAATGTAATTGCATGTATAAATATGTTTGGCAGAAAAATCTGAAAGTTTCCTAGAATGATCAGCATACTATTGTTGTTTTAGAGAATTACTTCAATCTTTTTATGGTTACTTTTATTTTTGGTGCAAAATTTGACCAGAACAAAATGTAATTTCAGGTTAATTTTAAACCTTTGAGCAAAACAATATGAAACTTTCTTAGAATGATCAACATAACATTTTTATTTTATATAATTATCTAAAAAAAGTATGGATACTTTATTTTCTGCCCAAAATTTGACACCCAATGGGGCTGAAAATGTAATTTCAGATTAATTTTAAATCTGTTTGGCAAAAAACACTAAAGTTGCTGCTGACTGGATGTTTAATGGGTCAAAATCAAGCCTACTCAGCGAAAACCAGGTTTAGTGGAGAGAATGGTTGATCCTGCCAGTTTTTTTTGGAACGGAGGTAAAAGTTTTGCCTCATTGATTAGTTAATACTCCCTCCGTCCCAAAATTCTTGTCTTAGATTTGTCTAGATCCGTATCTAGACGAATCTAAGACAAGAATTTTGAAACTAAGGGAGTAAGAGAATTGCCCAGTTAATTAATGAAAAACAAGATGTAAACCAATATAAACGAAGCATGGACTAACTACTCACATGGCAAGAAAACCCCACAATCGCACAGGCGGCCTCCGCTAGACTCTCTGATTACACAACATCCACAAACGTCGACATTGCTACTACGCCATGTGACCCCCGACAAGAACACATCCACATAAGACATCAAACACCTTCCAACCCACAACGACGACCCAATCCAAGAGGACGGGCCGAGAGACTGAACATCATCCATCAAGCAGCCAGAGACGCCTTGCCTATGGCGCCACTCTTGCCTTTTCTCACTTTTTTTGTTTGTCTCTTATTGGCGTCCCTGTCAAAAGGCAAGCAATCGAACTACTCCAAATCCAGGCCAGTTTTGGATAGTTCATGGTTGAATCTTAGCCGGTTTTAGAGTTCGGAGTTGAACCTTAGACACACCGGAAGAGTTCAAGGTTGTAATATGGACTTCTCTCGAAAAACAAAGGGAATTGCTTTCGCAACATTGATATACACAAATGTTTAGCTCCAGATCCTCAGATCCTAATGAAAAAACAAATGTTTAGCTCTCGCGATTGCCCAATGCTTAGCCTTCCTCTTAATGTTTGCAACTTGCACAACGAGCAAATAATACAATTAGGGCACCTACGCTTCTTCAAACTGTCGGTGGCGCACATCCTAACTGACTACCATGTGAATAACTTGACCTTTGGGCGGGGAATTCATGGAGGTAAGCGTGACCCCAAAAATTTGAGCTTGGTATGCAAAAGTTGCATAGTGTTCCCCAGTTACCGAAAACTTGCAAATTATGTCGCCGGGGCTTCCTCGTATAGGTGGATTTGATCAAGGCGAGCACACAACTCCACAAAAATGGGCGACATGAGCCCAAGTTAGGCCGTTTCTCATGTGATGTTTTTTTATCCAAGCAGTTTTCAACTAAGGCTTGCCTAACATTCCAATTCTTCCTAGTTGAGATCTCAAAAATGAACATCATTTGGCTTTTAACCATGCAATCAGCCAATCACAGAGTTTCCCTAAAGGGGCCTTCTCACCATAGCCTATGGTGATGGTTTTTTTTTTGTTTGAGGATTTGGTGATGGTTGTTAAGGCATCTTCAATGTGAATGTCCAAACCTCCTCTATATGTTTGGATCGTACGATCCATACA